AACACACCCGCTTTAAGGACACTGGCTGCTATTCAATCTATAACAGTGAAAAAAGTTTTTTGTTTTTAAATGCAAGCTATTGTGACACCAGATATGAGTGAGTGGTGGCACTGACTGGGCAAATGGGCACCGTATCCACTGTGAGCCTGACACAGAAGCTGGCAGCAGTGGCAGACAACTAATAACTGCTATTCCATCTATAACAGTGAAAAAAGAGTTTTGTTTTTTTAAATCCAAGCTATTGTGACACCAGATCTAATTAGTGGCACTGGTCACCGTAGCGTAACACACCCGCTTTAAGGACACTGACTGCTATTCAATCTATAACAGTGAAAAAAGTTTTTTGTTTTTAAATGCAAGATATTGTGACACTAGATATGAGTGGTGGCACTGGGCACCGTATTCACTGTGAGCTTAACACACCCGCTTTAAGGACACTGACTGCTATTCAATCTATAACAGTGAAAAAAGTTTTTTGTTTTTAAATGCAAGCTATTGTGACACCAGTGAGTGGTGGCACTGGGCACCGTATCCACTGTGAGCTTAACACACCCGCTTTAAGGACACTGACTGCTATTCAATCTATAACAGTGAAAAAAGTTTTTTGTTTTTAAATGCAAGCTATTGTGACACCAGATATGAGTGTGTGGTGGCACTGGGCACCGTATCCACTGTGAGCTTAACACACCCGCTTTAAGGACATTGACTGCTATTCAATCTATAACAGTGAAAAAAGTTTTTTGTTTTTAAATGCAAGCTATTGTTGCACCAGTGAGTGGTGGCACTGGGCATCGTATCCACTGTGAGCTTAACACACCCGCTTTAAGGACACTGACTGCTATTCAATCTATAACAGTGAAAAAAGTTTTTTGTTTTTAAATGCAAGCTATTGTGACACCAGATATGAGTGAGTGGTGGCACTGACTGGGCAAATGGGCACCGTATCCACTGTGAGCCTGACACAGAAGCTGGCAGCAATGGCAGACAACTAACTGCTATTCCATCTATAACAGTGAAAAAAGTTTTTTGTTTTTAAATGCAAGCTATTGTGACACCAGATATGAGTGAGTGGTGGCACTGGGCACCGTATCCACTGTGAGCTTAACACACCGCTTTAAGGACACTGACTGCTATTCAATCTATAACAGTGAAAAAAGTTTTTTGTTTTTAAATGCAAGCTATTGTGACACCAGATATGAGTGGTGGCACTGGGCACCGTATCCACTGTGAGCTTAACACACCCGCTTTAAGGACACTGACTGCTATTCAATCTATAACCGTGAAAAAAGTTTTTTGTTTTTAAATGCAAGCTATTGTGACACCAGTGAGTGGTGGCACTAGGCACCGTATCCACTGTGAGCTTAACACACCCGCTTTAAGGACACTGACTGCTATTCAATCTATAACAGTGAAAAAAGTTTTTTGTTTTTAAATGCAAGCTATCGTGACACCAGATATGTGTGAGTGGTGGCACTGACTGGGCAAATGGGCACCGTATCCACTGTGAACCTGACACAGAAGCTGGCAGCAGTGGCAGACAACTAACTGCTATTCAATCTATAACAGTGAAAAAAGTTTTTTGCTTTTAAATGCAAGCTATTGTGACACCAGATATGAGTGGTGACACCGATTGGGCAAATGGGCACAGTATCCACTGTGAGCCTCACACAGAAGCTGGCAGCAGTGGCAGACAACTGACTGCTATTCAATCTATAACAGTGAAAAAAGTTTTTTGTTTTTAAATGCGATCTATTGTGACACCAGATATGAGTGGTGGCACTGACTGGGCAAATGGGCACAGTATCCACTGTGAGCTTGACACAGAAGCTGGCAGCAGTGGCAGACAACTAACTGCAATTACATTACAGAGAAAAAAAAAAAAGCATACCCTAATCCTAACCTAGCTATGCATTTCCCTATCTAATCAACAGCAGCTACACTTTCCCTCCTCTCACTAAGCATGCAGCTTGAGAATGAATGTAAAATGGATGCCTTCCAGTTGGTGGAAGGGTCTGCTAGGGAGGGTGTGCTGCTAATTGGCTGGAAAGTGTCTGCTGACTGTGAGGTACAGGGTCAAAGTTTACTCAATGATGACGAATAGGGGGGGTTCAAACCGCGCATGCGTTCGCCGTCCGCGGCGGACGCGAACACGCTATGTTCGCCAGAACTGTTCGCCGGCGAACCGTTCGGTGCATCACTAATCCCCATAAGCATAAGTGCGGTTATCAATGACATCGTGAGAAGCAATTAGTAACGCCACAAGATTGACATCCTTCCCCTCCAAGATGTCTTTCTTAATCTTGTCTGGGACCATGTGCACAGGATTGATAATGTGAGTTTCGGAACCAGAAGGCACATAATTACCCGATTGCAATAGTGGAGCATCGGGGAGTAAGGCAGTCGAGGGCCTGGGAGACCTAACAGGAGGGCTCCGAGCCTCGATCCTATCCAGTCTCTCGTTGACCTTGCTCATGGATGCTACTAGTGAAGCGACCATGGCATGTAGGTCCGAGTTGCCCGTACCACTTGTGCCCTCTCCCGCCCCCGAGTTATCAGTATGAGTACACATTAATTTGTAGAGCTCAGCTTTCCTGGCTGTGGCAGGAAAAGGAATGCTGCGTCTCCGCAGTTCTGCAGTAATGCGAGGGATGGTCTATGACCTTATTAAAGTTGGACTCCCAACGTCGCCTTTACGAGTAGGTGACAATGATCTGGCCGGAGAACTGGGTAGGGACAAATTGTCTGTGTCATCCGGTAGATGTGACATACTAAAAGGGAATAATCAAACCATCAGCCATTATACCATCTTTGGTTACTGGCTGGCTAGCTAATGCCGGATGGCGAAACAATTTCTTAGGTGTGGTGACAGGTGAGGCCCTGCTAGTTGCCAAGTGGCTTGAGAGGCTCTATCTATCGATTGGCGCAAGGGAATTGTTGCCACCGAAACATTGTGGCGGGGTGTTGGCCTCTCGATGATGATTAAAGCGCATAATATAGAATGGGAGTGACAAGTGAGGCCCTCTCTATGCAACCGTACGAGGCGGCTAACTATGATTTGGCCCAAGGGCCGAATGTCCTTAAGTGTGGAGGAAATGGGTTGGCCTCGCGGGACCACTACTACTAAGGCGAAGAAGCCCGGATAATTTACTAGTGGCCGCCTATCCTAGATATGCTAGTAATACTGAATCATAGGCTCTAAGGGGGGAGCGGTGGGGCTGTTTAGGCAAAATGTACCTGAGACCCACTTGTTGTTGTTGGATCAAAAATTAGGTCACAACCAAACAGAGAACCTGAGACTTCCACCACTTATCTAATGGAAGCGAGGTTTATACCTAGTGATAGTAGAGAGGCGTATATGTTATACATAGTAATAAACATACTTCCTTTTTAATGCTGAGAGTACCTCTTACTTAACACCTTACTTACTGGACAATGTTAAATAAAGATTTGATAGTAAAGAACGTAGTTGATTTGAGTCAACTTGAACCTTAGTATGCAGTAAGTAGTATTACATAAAGTATACATTAGTATGCAGTTTAGTTAGTATGTGCTAAGTATACAGTAGTATGCAGTAAGTAGTATTACATAAAGTATACATTAGTATGCAGTTAATTTAGTATGTGCTAGGAATACATTAGTATGCAGTACGTGGTATTACATAAAGTATACATTAGTATGCAGTTAATTTAGTATGTGCTAGGAATACATTATTATGCAGTAAGTAGTATTACATAAAGTATACATCAGTATGCAGTTTAGTTAGTCTGTGCTAAGTATACCGTAGTATGCAGTAATTAGTATGACATACAGTATACATTGGTGTACATTATGCAGCCCAGTAGTTGTACTGTGGTATGTGATACAGTATTTACAGTTTAAACTAACTTCCCCAGCAGTATGTAAGCTTTGTTTTAGTAGTGTACTAAGTAAGCTGAAAACGAAACCTGTTGGCAGTGTGGAGACCTGTGTGGTCTCTGGCTGCTGTGTCCGTGTGTTTTACTGCAAGCCCCCCCACCCCTATGGACCATCCGGTGTGTGGCAGATGGTGAGGGGACCGTAGTATGCAAGACTCATGATTTTAGTGCCCCCCGAGCGTGTGGGAAAACAGCAGCTGTAAGCCGATCTGAACGCAAAAACCGCGAACCGGAAGTCCGAAACAGGAAGTGACGTCTGCCGAAGTCAAAACTACATGGTGATGCAGAAAAAGGGGGGTGAGTTTAAATAGGATCACCACGCCCCTCCCACAACTCCAGACAAGCCTTTACATATATATATAATTATATACATTTATATGAATATCAAAATACACGTATAATGATATTAAATATATATATGTGTATATATAATGTAAAATAAATAAATATATAAATACATTTAAAAATGAAAAAGAAAAAATTATAAGAAATGTATGTGTAATTTCGTTCTGCATTTTGATATTAATATATATATATATATACACATACATACATGCACATAAATATATAAGTATATATCACTATTAATAAACCTATATATAAATAAAGATAATTTTCAAATGTTTTATATATATATATATATATATATATATATATATAAATATATATATATATATATCTTTTTTTTTAATTCTACATATATATTTATGTCATATATTTATATAATTAAGTCATTTTATTAATTACAATTTGCGGGACTTGCCTGATAACCCAGGCAGAAAGTCCATATAATTAAATTTTCTAGCACCATATTTAACCCTGTAACTTTCCAAGACACCATAAAACCTGTACATGGGGGTACTGTTTTACTCAGGAGACTTCACTGAACACAAATATTAGTGTTTCAAAACAGTAAAATGTATTACAACGATATCATCAGTGAAAGTGACTTATTTTGCATTTTCAACACACAAATGGCACACTGACGATATAATTGTTGTGATACATTTTATGGTTTTGAAACACTAATGTCTATTAGTGATGCCGCAAACACAAAATTTTCGGTTCGCGAACAGTGAACGCGAACTTCCGCAAATGTTCGCGAACCGGCGAACCGGGTGAACCGCCATAGACTTCAATGGGCAGGCGAATTTTAAAACGTACACAGGGACTCTTTCTGGCCACAGTAGGGATGGAAAAGTTGTTTCAAGAGGACTAACACCTGGACTGTGGCATGCCGGAGGGGGATCCATGGCAAAACTTCCATGGAAAATTACACAGTTGATGCAGAGTCTGGTTTTAATCCATAAAGGGCAGAAATCACCTAACATTCCTAAATCACAATGAATATGGATTGACACCTGACATATGACATATTGACACCTTGACATATGGATTGACACCTGTCCTCAGAGCCCCTGATGCACACGGACACAGAGCAGAATAGAGACTGGTCCCCCTACATAGGGTCACTTGGCAGATATGGATTGACACCTATCCTAAGGATCCCTGATACACATTGACAAAGAGCAGAATAGAGACTGTTCCCCCTACATAGGGTCACTTGGCAGATATGGATTGACACCTGTCCTCAGAGACCATGATACACACTGACACAGAGCAGAATAGGGACTGTTCCTCCTACATAGGTCACTTGGCAGATATGGATTGACACCTGTCCTCAGAGCCCCTGATACACACTGACACAGAGCAGAATAGGGACTGTTTCTCCTACATAGGGTCACTTGGCAGATATGGATTGACACCTGTCCTAAGGATCCCTGATACACACTGACACAGAGCAGAATAGGGAATGTTACCCCAACATCGGGTCACTTGGTAGATATGGATTGACACCTGTCCTAAGGATCCCTGATACACACTGACACAGAGCAGAATAGGGACTGTTCCCCCTACATAGGGTCACTTGGCAGATATGGATTGACACCTGTCCACAGAGACCATGATACACACTGACACAGAGCAGAATAGAGACTGTTCCCCCTACATAGGGTCACTTGGCAGATATGGATTGACACCTGTCCTCAGAGACCATGATACACACTGACACAGAGCAGAATAGAGACTGTTCCCCCTACATAGGATAACTTGGCAGATATGGATTGAAACCTGTCCTCAGAGACCATGATACACACTGACACAGAGCAGAATAGAGACTGTTCCACCTACATAGGGTCACTTGGCAGATATGGATTGACACCTGTCATAAGGATCCCTGATACACACTGACACAGAACAGAATAGGGACTGTTCCTCCTACATAGGGTCACTTGGCAGATATGGATTGACACCTGTCCTCAGAGACCATGATACACACTGACACAGAGCAGAATGGATACTGTTCCCCCTACATAGGGTCACTTTGCAGATATGGATTGACACCTGTCCTCAAAGACCCTGATACACACTGACACAGAGCAGAATAGAGACTGTTCCCCCTACATAG